AATAAATAAAGATATTAATTAATAAAATATTAAAATTTCGATGTCTACAAATGCCCCCTTGAGACTTGTTCACGAACAAAATGTCTTGGTAGTGAATGAGTCTCAAATTTTATGATTTGGTTTGGACATGATGATAGTTTAAACACTTATCTAGGAGTTGTTCAACTTGAGTTTGTAGATAGTTTAAACTCATATCAGGGAGTTCTTCATTTGACTTGATTTGTATATAGTTTATACTCATATCAAGGAGTTCTTCATTTGACATAATTTTTAGATAGTTTAAACTCGTATCAAGAAGTCTTGATTTGATTTGACAGATAGTTTATACTCGTATCAAGGAGTCTTGATTTTATATGACAGAGAGTTTATACTCGTATCAAGGAGTCTTCAATTTTGTAGACATTTTATGCTCGTGTCAAGGAGATCTTGATATATAGACATTTTATGCTCGTGTCAAGGAGCCTTCAAGTTTGATATGTAGACCTTTTATTCTCGTATCAAGGAGATCTTGATATGAAGACATTTTATGCTCGTGTCAAGGAGCCTTCAAGTTTTATATGTAGACCTTTTATTCTCGTGTCAAGAAGATCTTGATATGTGGACATTTTATGCTCGTGTCAAGGAGCCTTCAAGTTTGATATGTAGACCTTTTATGCTCGTGTCAAGGAGATCTTGATATGAAGACATTTTATGCTCGTGTCAAGGAGCCATATAGATAGTTTAGGCTCATAGTTTGAGCTCATATCAAGGAGCATTTGAATATGTAGATAGTTTAAGCTCGTATCAAGGAGCATTGGAGCATGTAGATAGTTTATGCTCATATCAAAAAGCATTTGAATATGTAGATAGTTTAGACTCATATCAAGTAGCCTTTGAATATGTAGATAGTTTAGGCTCGTATCAAGGAGCATTTGAATATGTAGATAGTTTAGGCTTGTATCAAGGAGCATTGTAGATAGTTTAAGCTCGTATCAAGGAGCATTGTAGATAGTTTAAGCTCGTATCAAGGATCACTGGAATATGTAGATAGTTTAGGCTCATATCAAGGAGCATTTGAATATGTAGATAGTTTAGGCTCATATCAAGGAGCATTTGAATATGTAGATAGTTTAGGCTCATATCAAGGAGCATTTGAATATGTAGATAGTTTAGGCTCGTATCAAAGAGCATTTGAATATGTATATAGTTTAGGTTCGTATCAAGGAGCATTGTAGATAGTTTAAGCTCGTATCAAGGAGCATTTGAATATATAGATTTGATGGAGCTTTCCATATGAATTG